CGGGGCAGCTATAGCGTGGTGCTGTAGGCCTCGGGGCAGTTGTGGGGGGCAGGGTAGTAGAAGGGCAGGTCCCAGACCCTCTGGGCCAGGTAGGGGCAGGCCCCCCTCATGCTGCGGTCCACGTAGCTGGAGATGGTGGGGATCTCCTCCCTCAGCGCGTCGTCGCAGTCGGGCACGGTGGGCGTGACGAAGCTCTGCTTCATCTGGTACCGGCTGGTCCAGGCCTCCATCAGCCTGAGCTGCTGCTGCTCCTCCTCCTCGCGGCTGAGGAAGTCCTTCAGCACCTGCTTGAACACGTAGACCAGCTCCCAGGGCAGGACCTCGTTCCCGGCCAGGACCTCGCGGAACCTGGGGCAGAGCACAGCGCCGCGTCAGCCCCCGTGCGTGCGTCAGCCCCCGTGCGTGCGTGCGTGCGTCAGCCCCCGTGCGTGCGTGCGTCTGCGTGCGTGCGTCTGCGTGCGTGCGTCTGCGTGCGTGCGTCTGCGTGCGTGCGTGCGGCTGGCTGCAAGAGCTGCAGGTGGGGGTAACTCATGCACGCCTTCTGCTCGGTTTGTGACCAGTCCCCTCCTCCCTGGGCATCAGTTCTTTTACGCAGCAGGAGAGCTCCGTGCGTGTGCACGCGCTCTTGAGAGCAAGAGCAATGGCGGCAAAACCAACCCCATTCTGACAGAAGCGATTACGGTATTGTAGATATGAATCGGAGTTTGCCTGCGCATTAAGAGCGGCGGGGAGCTGGGATGGACTGTCCTTGCTCTGCTGGGGCGTGTAGACGGAAAGGGAGGAGAGGGGTTTGAATCTGGCTCTCGGCAGCTTTAGTCATGGGTGTGTGCTGAGGGAGCCAAGAGCTGTTGTGTAATCGGTCTTTGCAGGTTGTGTAATAATGTGGTGCAGAAGCTCTGGAGGGGAGAGGGATATTCACTTCAAGTTTCAGCACTGCGCTGGTGCATTGCTCTCGATTAATTTTGCGATCTGCATTTAAAGCCACAGACCAAAAACTCTGCGCAGCATTTTGGTTTCAGAGCTATGGGAGGGGGAAAAAGAGATTTGCTCCTTCTCATTGCTGGGCTTCTCTCACGGTTACTCAAAGCGTCAGGAGACATTTAAATTGAATTTAACCAATGTAAGTAATGGGCACTGCGATGAACATTTAATAGCGGTTCGATGCACATCCCAGAACAAGCTGCGCCGGAAGCCTAGCATGAGGTGTTTTGAGAATGAAGAGAGATCTGGCTGAGGTTCTGTATATACTTTTGCTTTGAATGCCCTTTGCTCCTTTCTCCCTCTGCGTGTTGGGCTGGTGTTTAATGCGGGTCGGTGTTGGTGTGCGAGGCGGTGGCTAACGATTTCTTTCAGGTCTGCAGAAGAAATAAAAGAGCGATCTACAACTCGGGCATCGTGGGTAAGACTAATGGCTCAATGAGCCTGGTTCGGGTGCAGCTGTGTGTCCACTGTGGGCGTGCGAGAGCCCCTGGCTGGCCAGCAGGAGGCCGCAGTGCACTTTGGCTGAGCCCCCCCTGACATTTCTGAGAGCCGCCGGGCACCATACGCCCCGCTCGCCAGCGCACTGCTCTCCGCTCGGGGGCCCGAGGGGCTGGCGATGCCCTGTGCCTGCGCCTGCTGCTGCTGCAGCTATTGGGCAGCGATCAGGGGCCAGTTGTGGGCGTGGGGGCGCTGCTCTGGAAACGTCGCTGCATGCTTCACTTCATCACTTCACACCCAGACATTCCCCTGAGCTCGGGCACATTTTAAAAACTGAGCTTGGCGTTGGAGAATGACCTTCTTGCCGTAGTATTCTTCTGTTCTTTATATAACGTTTACATAACTCTTAGCCAGCGATGCCGGATCATGGGCATGGCCTGCAGCGTGGGGGGGGGGGATGGGTCAAGCAAGCAAAGAAAATAGAAGCTTCGTGCCCCAGCCAGACCCACTGGCGCATCTCTAGAAGCGAGGAAGTCTTGGTTTTGTGTTTCGCTTCCATCAGGGAAGCAAATAAGACTCCGGCTACGCAGCCTTTTCGTCAAGCTGGGGGCTGTTGCCTGCAGAAGCCCAGTATTCGAGTCTCGCTGCCCTGCCTTCACAAAGGCTGTGCTGAAACCTGTCCAGCGCCGGTGGGTCGTGGGGCTTACCTGGAGAGGACGGCGGCGATGTGCGCGGGCTGGATCTGCGCGCAGAGGTGCTCCAGCTGCCGGTGCTCGGAGGCGGGGATGAGGGAGCGCAGGCTGGGGTAGCTCGGCAGCCAGTGCCGGTCGCCCCCGCCGCCCTGGTGCGCCC